CTATTTTATGCATTTCATGGTTTATGGTTAAAGAGTTTCCAACATATTTTCAACAGAAATATCACAATGTTCTGAATATCTGATATTCAGAACAGAGTGGTATTCTGCTAGACTATTTCACGAAGCATAAGAAGCATTTATTGCAAATGAACAAGCTATATAACCAAAGCGATTCATTATGACACCTTCAGCTATAATTATTTTATGTCAAACTGACACTTTGCTATCTATGGTTACATCATTGAAAACACACCAATGCTGATAGACCAATGAGAATTGAAAGACAGCTAGTGTTTTCGTGATAGCACAAGTTGTCTTTGGCATGTGATTGGTCAGATTTTATTTCAATTTTAAGGTCAGTGAAATAGTGAAATTAATGTGCATCAAGGGCACAAATCATAAAAGATAAGCTATTAGTAATATATTGTAGTAGTTCAAGAACTTATCATGGAAGCGAACAGTAAATCAGAACAAACAATCAGGAATTCAAGGTCTGAAACACATCACATTATTGGAAGAAATTATCGGAAAGCCATTTCCCACACAAAATGGCTACAATGAACACTCAATGATATTCTAGGTAGTATCATGTACATACATATAGATATAAAATATTTAGGAATATAAATCACAAAAATATGGAAAATGTTTTGGCACTAAATATTGAAATTGTACCCTTGCAATGTAGCAGATATGCACTTACATAATAAATATCATATTCATAAAATTTTTGGTATACAGAGTAAATCAAATTATATGCTTGTTATGAACATATTATATGTTCTTGTTCGAGTTCTACGGCTGACACAATACTGTTCTTTTTCAACTACTGTTTTTGATGAAACAACGAGGTAAGTGCATTGTCTTCTTTTAATTTCATTTCCTACCTTATAAAAACATCTCAAACAATCATATAATGAGCAGTGAGAGTGATTTCACTGCAATAATGTAATTTTACATATTATAGGTAATTAAATTCTCATTTCAAAATATCCTAAAAGAAAGAGAATATCATTGCTCAGTTATTCAATATGAAATTGATGAATCAATTGTTAAATCAGATAATTAATGACATTAAATTTGAATGTCATGATATATCTGTTGAATCATTTCGTTACTATATGTTAGAGCCGTAGAAAAAGTATAGTGTATAACTCGAGCGGAATGCTAATTTCCTACTCGTATGAGCCACTGAAAACTTCAAACCGACAAAACTTATAGCGCTATAGGGGCTGTCAATATGATTGCGAAAGGCCATATACAAATGTCCAAAACCGCTTCGTTACTGACATGCAGAGTGATTTATGGTAGTCATTGGATTGTATTAGTTTGATAAGAGTTCGGACACAGAAATGACAACTGTTAGTGTTTTTGAATGTTTAGATTCATCATACAATTTGCATTGTGACAAGAGCACCATAGTCATTCCGTCCTTTTTCATTCAAAATTGTTTGAATTCGACTTAACCATTGATATATGAATGAGAATCTCCTGCTGTAATGAATTGTGGGAATTGTGAAGAGAATGGATTTTATTTATTTAATTCGTCAAAGGAAATATCAACCCCATTCTCTTATGGAAGGAATGTATGAAACGACCTGGATAAAAAATTAATTTGAAGACAAGCAAAATTTGTGAGGTACGTACAGGGTGCGCCTCTTAAAATGGAACCCGCCCTTTATTTTTTTGTTTTCAGAGATATGAAAGAATGTTGGAAGAAGAAGTTTTTTGAAACGACCCAAACTTTCATTTCGTGAAATTGTTTAATATACAGGGTCATTAGTTTTCCGGAAAGGACATGAACTTTGATTTTTTCTATAGAACACCCTATATATTTTTCGACATGTCGATAGAGCCTTTTTTTCTGATCTCAAAAATATATATGAGTTGTATATTTGGATGAAAAATAGTTGAGTTATTGATGATCAAAGTTTATCAAAATACTGCTTCATGAACCTTCACTTCATATCATCTTATAATGTGAGTTGAACATAGTGGGCTTAAAATTAATGTTTATATATTGTTTAGGCTCTTTGGAAATGTCATGATATTGTTTATTATGAAATTGAAATCTTTCAATCTCAATTCAAAAAAATATGAATGGAAGATGCGGTATTTTGGTAAACTTTGATCAGCAATAACTCAATTATTTTCCATTCAGATATACAATTCATATATATTTTCGAAATAAAAAAAAAAGTTCAATCGACATGTCAGAAAATATATAGAGTGTTCAATTGAAAAAATCAGTTAAGTTAATGTCCTTCCACAAAAAATAATGACCCTGTACATAAAGCAACTTCTTGAAATAAGAGTTTGGGTCGCTTCAAACAACTTTTTGAGTTAAGGGGAGGTTCCATTTCAAGAGGCGCACCCTGTTCATAAAATCAACTTTTTAGAACTGCAGATTAGAATGAAACTATATTTTAGGCCCATTTTCAAAGAGAAGATTTTACGATCCGAGAGAATCTGATGCTGTTCCATCCATTTAAAAAACAGACTATTTGAAAAGGAAAATGAAAATTTGAGAACTGAGGAAATCAAGTAAATTGCAATGTGATATATCATTGAATGGCGTTTTCAATACCTACCGAACTAGCTATAAATATATCCATATTATGTGTCTATTTTGTCATTAAAATATTGTTACATGCATTATTTTCATCGCTATAAATTGAAGTGGGTGTTTATACCCTATTTCTATTTTCCATCTACTGCTATGATTGATTTGACAGGAAATCTAACCTCTAAAATCGTATCTGACAATCAGGCGATATTAGGGAAATTGAAAAGACAAAGAACAGAATATATGTTTCATTCTTTTACAGGGATTACTCGTTTGGGATCAAATTTCGTACATGAATCAAACTGATAGGCTTCAACAAGTAGCCCTTTGAACCGAACCAATATCAGGAACGAATTTTTTTTTCCTTTGTTGACTTATTGTGATAATAACTCACCCTGTATAATAATTATCAGAAATCTGAGGTCATATTATGATTCTACGGAAAAAATACAATAGGAACTTGTTGAGAAAGTTTCTGGCACAATTTCAGTCATTCCGTAATAAATTATTATTTAATTTTTATTCATTATTGTCGGTTAAAATATCGTCAAAAATGGAAATATGATGAATATTTACTTAACCAAGACATAATTGTTGTTATTCTCTTCGATTACGTCGTAGAAATATTCTATAAATTACTCTCGTTACCTAAAAAAACTGAAGAATAGATTCGTATCAGGACCGGAATGACTTTTCATGTTCTTGTAAGTACAGCATGTCCCTAAAAGGTCCCAGCACATAATCCTTAAGTCCAAATAAGCCGATTTAAAGCAACCTACCTCTGTCCGAAATTGCCCTATTTCCGAAATACAGGGTGGTACATTTGAAAAATTAAAAATAATTGGTTTTCAGAATTTATGAACAATTTTTGAGCATATTACTAAAAAAATTGGTAAGGGGCTCTTTGGAATGCGGAACACAAATACTGAAACCTTTTCACTGTGGCCATCAGAGGGCGCTTACCAATGCACTTCCTCTTTTTCACTTTTTTGTTGATGAAATAATTTTTCCAATATTCCTTAGTGAAAAAAGGTACACTAGTGAAAAGTCGCTAAAGTGAGCCGATTTCGAGATATTTCAGTTTCAAGTGTTCGATGCCGCACCGGAATATTTAAATAACTTTGAATAAAAAATGCATGTTTGCTGTAATCTTTGTTTATGTAATTTGGTCAGTGAATTAGTAGTGCAAACATGGATTTTCCAAAATAGTTTTTTTGGGGTGTTGGTGATGATTTTTATTCTATAAATTTACCACCCTGAGAAATTTCGGACAAACATAAGTTGCTTCAAATCGTTGACCTCAGGACTATATGCTACGATTTTGTACAGACATTTCAGGGACACCCTGTATAACTAACCTAATAGAACAATTAAGAATAATCTGGTAGTAGATTCGGAATAAATCACTCTGTATGTCAGTAACGAAGCGGTTTTGGATATTTGTATATGGCATTTTTGAATCATATTGGCAGTCCCTATAACCCATTACGCTTTGTCGGTTTTATCTCTGGACACCACCCTGTTAAGGTTTGTTAATCTGTGACCCTGTATATCTGTATAGAGTGATGATAGCGAAGACTGGCATCTTTGAGAAGATAATCACACTATAAACTTAACTGATTTTTCATCGCTTCGACACGTGTTGAGAGGAGAAATAATCTTATTCTGAATATAGCACGACACGTGTCGAGGACTTTTTTTTTGCTTGTTTGTATTTTTTCTCTCGTGAATTGACTGAGTATACTCAAAATGAACACTTGAAAATATAGAGAGTACCTGCATAAAAACGTTTGGCATATTTCAGACATTATTCTGTCTTTTTGGCATACCCACCCATCAGGCATAAAGTTGAAACTTCAAGGGCAATTTTAATAAATTAGTTTTGTCATTATCAACATATATCTAGTTTGTAGGATAAAGTCTTATACTGTGCTTTCATCGAGATCATGAAATTCATTTGCCTTGCACAGTCACTGAAATCACTGAATTTCAAATGACTGACACTGACAACCCAGGTCTGCAAAAAATTACTTTACACTTTTAGAACAATACTGGCATATGATCTCTTTCGAGTTTTTTTCGAGCTTTCACTTGTATTATCCCTATAGGATCTATTGGAGGCGGTAGTCCTGGACTAAAAGTCGCCGTTTCGTTATAGAAAGCTTCAAACGTACCTGAATTCTGGCCAAGAATTATGTTATCTGTGCCTCTAAAACAATTATCATGAAATAATTATAATAATAATAATAATTTGACGATTTGATCCGATTTTTCTTACTTATTTATATAAGCAATGAGAGAAATTTCAAAAAAAATCTTGATGAATAATTCTATTGTCTTTTTATTTTTAACTTTGACACTACACTTCAAGAATGATATATTTTTTCGAAGAATGTATTTATGAAACAATTTAAAATGAAAGAATAGTACTCACCTCACTAATACTTCAGTTATTTCATTATTTGCATCAGTGAATTCTTCACATAAATACCCAACAATTGTTAAATCGTGTTCACTCCATGTTCCTTTCTGTTTGACAGAATTCCAATCCGAATCCAGATACAGATAACTGTATTGATTGGATTCAGAACTATAGGAGTCGGCTTCACGTCTGAATGTCCTTTGCAATTTGTCAATATACTCGGTGCTCATTTCAGACTAAAACAAACCCAAACTATCAACTTCAGCCAATGGGCTAGTAAAATAAATTTTTCGAATTTTTGAATTGCTAATCAGTAATGCCGTCAATTTTATTATTTAAAAAATGAAGTCACAGCCTTATTCAAATGGTCGAAATTTACCACTCATAAATATTGACATCCGGGCTCAGTGAGTGGAACAGATACTTCACAGATTTCAAAGTACATCTGGAAATAACAGAAATTCTCTGGCTATAAACATTCATAAATCATGATTTATCGCTCTCCTACTACGAGGAAATATTCCTAGTTGCTTTATTCCCAAGTGGACAATATTTCCTTTTTTTTTCGAAGGTGGTCGAAATCCTTTATGGACACCATGAGGGATCATTCCCTTCATGGTAGTCATAGTCATATTTATTGATCCAGTCGATCACAGAGTACATGATATAGGACAAGTAAACATTTTACAATAGGAACAAATAGAACATCACTCAACAGATAACATAAATTTGTCCAGAGAATATAGACACTTTTTCAAATTAAACATTTCAAGTTGTCTCTGAAACAACTTTCCATTTCCTGACTTCCTGACATCCTCTGGTAGAACATTATACAACCCAAGCAATAAAATGTCTGTAGCCCTCTTTGTAAGACTTATACAATGCAAGTGGGATATGAAATATACTTCTATTACAAGTGTGGTAATCATGAACATATTTATTTTCAATGAATTCAACTAGTAATTCAAGAATATACAGTGTGTTAGGGATGGTTTCTCCGAAACGTCGTACGGAAAATCTCTCAACGCTGTTTTGTTAAGCTTAGAAAGCGACAATGAGAAAGTGTATTTTGTTTTCCTATATCTCTTTAAATAACGTCAGAAAAACTTTAATCGATCCGCATGATACATCCTTATCTTGGATACGTGCAAGAGGTAGAAGTTTATATTTTTCAAAAAGGGTTTATATGACTGTGTCGGTGACGGTCCATCAATGCATATGATAATCCGTTTTCGCACTTGGAATACATTTTGTGAATATGAAGTAGTGTGGGAGCCCCTTTAAATAGGTGTACCTAGAGTCCCTGTATGTATTTGACAGTTTTGCTGTAATAAGAGTACGGACACTATGACAAGCAGTGACAAAAGGCATAACCACAAATTCTCAAAATGACTTTGAAGGTTTGGTTGAACAAAGACATGGATATGCTTTTCCATGCACTTCGGATCTTCTTTCCTCAACTGCCGCGGTGAAGGGTACATCCATATATCTTTCTCTGTCTTTCTTTTCATAAAGAAGTGGCGTATCATCTCACTGTCCAAAAGGGGTCATAGTTTGTAACTTAATTTATTGATAGGATTTCTCGATATACTTAAAAAAGGATATAATGTCGGGTCAATTTATTTAATTTTAGGATGCACTAGTTTTTCAATAGAAGAGTCAGGATTTAGTAGCCAGTTCTGCTGAGCGGAATGTGAATGAATGGGAAAAACAATTCAATCAATTAACAAACTTATATTTGCTCTCATAAAATACTAAGACACTTTATAGTGCATGATCGATCAGAAAATTCGACAAATACAAGTATAACGACTATAGTTCAAGAATAGGGTCCTATGATCAAAATATGAAATTTCTAATAATGGTAGGTACCTACTGTTTTTGCTTATATTATAAGAATTCGATAAAGAATGTCTTCGAAAATCTTTCTGATGATAGAATGAAGGCTCCGCATTCTCTTTCAATTTAATGGTATGTTCCACTATCAAATCTTCACTTTTCAAGTGCACCTATTATCTTAAAATTGAAATTAGAAATGATATCATTCCTTCGAATATGCATCATATTCAATCGAAAAATTCAAATATTGAGTACTTACTTCACAAATTTTGCTAGATTAACTCAATTTTCACAATGGCCGCTTCATATTTTGTTTCCATTTCGGTAGCTGTTGTTTATCATTCTTGCAGTTTTCAACTACACAATTAGCCATTATATTTTTTTTTTTAAATTGAATTTTCAAATAATTCAATGTTATGTACGTTCATGATCTGTCAGTTCCCGCCAAATTGGTGATGTCATTCAAAATTTTGTAGGGTTATGTCACTGCTTGTCATAGTGGCCGTATTCTCATAACAGCAAAACTGTCAAATATATACAGGGACTCTAGGTGTACCCACTAAACACTCATCTGACCAAAGTCTGCAATAACACTTAGGCCTATTGGCCCACTAGCTCTATCTAATCTCAAATTTGCTGTCATTGATTTTACCATATACGACCCATGGTTCTTATACAGGGTTTAAAAACTCAAGTCGGCCCTAAAAAGTCAGAAATTTTCAAACTAGTAGTATTTTTTCCGCTGATTACGATGATGAAAAAACATCGCGTTCACGAGTTATGTCAAAAAGTTCAATTTCTTCAAGTGGGGCACCCAATATACAATATTCTCAATCGATAGGAAATTCGATTTTGAATAAGAAATGTCCTATGAACTTTTATCCTAAATTCAAAAATGACTAAGTTATCGACGATTTTTTTGATAGTTGAAGACGGCTGTGGTAAGGCAAAGTTACAATACCTCGATCATCCTTGATTACCACAATCACTTTGACAAATTAGAAAAAGCATTGATAGCTCAGTCATTTTTGAATTTGGGATGAAAGAATATAAGTCAGTTTTTGTTGAGAATCGGATTTCCTATCAATTAAGAATATTTAACACCTACTGGGTGTCCCATTTTAAACAAACTTAACTGACGACTTACGTTTAAAAACCCTGTATAAGGGTCACTTCAAATACCAATATTTCCTTCATATAGGTAGTAGACTTATCTGAATGTATGAGACAAAAGCATTATTGATTCATACCAAAGGAGATTCAATGTGAAACGCGTGGCTACAATGTCATGCTCTATTAAATATTTGAACAGTAGTTTGGGTACTATTTTTTTTTAATTAGGTATTTCCAATATTTCACAGATATATTTCAATATACTGTATTAGCCAGGAAAGTAGTTGTTTTCTGTTAGACATTTCCACAATGATCCTCTTATTTCTCGAAAAATACTTATTATGTAGTAACTTATCAATAAGCATATGTTTACATACCATTTTCATTATACTATTCTGCTCCTTACTATTTTCTTTGCTCAATAGTACAGCCATACAGATATCTTGTTTTCCGTTCACTAATAAACTGCATTCTTTCAATCCTTCCTCAGGCTTAGTTTTCTCAGTTTCAACATTTTTAGTTTTGTATTCTTGACAAGGATATTTTCTAACTGGATCAGCAGAGTCCTTTTTCATGTGACATAATTTTGAAAAAGTAGGTGTTTGTTCACCGATCAACTTCCCTAATTTAGAATTTAACGTTTTAGAGAATTCACCGTTACTACCATCTGTTTGCCGTTGATTTCTTGTCAACAAATCCAAAAGCTCCAATGAGTTTTCCGGTTTGTTATTTTTATCACAAGTGCTCATATCCTTCTTGATGAACGCCTCTGCAATCTTATCCGCTTTTTTTCGACTGAATGAAATAGCATTACCGTTCGACTGATGAGGATTCTTCTTTCCATTCAGATCCCTAGGATATTGCACTGATATAATGGTTCCATCTTCTTTGAAAACAGGGAAAGTTGGATCCGATATGGTCTTGAATTTCGGAACATCACTATGTTTCTTACTGGTGGTGAAAAGATCCGCAATGTTAGAAAAACTCTTGAACCTGTTCTTCGTATCTTGTAGATCTGATGTGACAACAGCGCACTCGTTCTGGGTTCCCAAGTCACTGAATGTTTTTCCTAGTTTATTCGAACCACCATCGTCCTCTTCATTATGACATATCGATAAGGGATGTTGGTGGATGACTTTCTTCAACTCCTTGAGAGGAGTAGAGCAAATACTAGTTTGGCTACACAATGGCGTTCCCGAGTTTACTTTCGATTTCAATTCGTTCGAATTACCGATTGAGATGGTCGTTTTCAAATTCAAGAATTTCGGTCGGTTTCTCTTGGTTGTTGGGATGTACGGCTGGTCCCAAGATACTGAAGCGTCTTCTGGCACAGCGGTGAACAACAAGGATTGGTCTCTCTTCATGGTACTCAAGATGGCCATGTCTTGGGATCGTTTTTCATTCTTTGTGGAAGTCTGAATAGAAACAATGGTCAAGGATGAATTTCAGTTATTTCAACAATTTATTTGTGAATCTAGTAATCATTGTTTCATAGTGAGGGATCATGAAGTACAAATTTGATTACCCACAGTGGGTTTGAACACAACCGTCTCTACTAACAGACGTGGTGAACAGTATTGGCAACAATGTTCTTGGTCGGCCATAATAAATGTACAGGGGGATTGTTTATATTTTACTCAATAGCTATCTCAGTTAATATTGGTCTTACAGAAATGTTCATATGGGCGAAAATGAAGTATTTTTTATGGGCATTCAGAATTTAGTACTAGGAAATGCAAAAAACAACGTAAACCTGAAAATGTTACATAAACTGGTATGTTGTTTAAATGGAACACCCTGTATTAAATTTTTCTATTCGATAGAGGTATCTCTTCTAATTTCAAATATATATACTTTATTGAGGTTATTCGGAAAATACAGATTCTAAGGCAGCTGTAGAACGCCAGAAATTGCAACATTGTCATACCAAGAAACCTATATTATTCAAAAACTGACAAAAGATAACCCCTATAATAGTTATTAAACCAACTAGTGTATTAATAAGGGCGATTAATGATCGAGATATTTTAACGTGCGAGCGAAGCGAGTACGTTAATATTCGAGATCATTAATCGCCTCTTAATATACGAGTTGGTTACAAAATTTTTCCGTCGACTATATTTCTCATTTCTCCTGCAATGAAGAAAACTTGGTTCGCCATATCATCATCCATCCGGAAACTGCTAAGAATCACCCAGTAGTCTTGTTACTGACATTAGACACATTTGACATTTGTCGAAATGATCAACATAGGAAATAAATTCCTTGTGTTAGAAAACGATTAATATCGTGTCAGAAACTTGGAAAGGCGAACCCGTTAACGGAAAATCGTCGATGAAATCCATATTTTCGATTTAAATGCAGATTCCGTAAGTTATAGCATAAACAATGAATGCACGCGGTGTATGTTTGGTTGCCTATAAAACAATCGTGTATTAATAGACAAATCGTTCATTAATAGGGGTCATTAATGAACGATTTCATATACATTAAACTTAGTCGTTAATACGAGGTCGACGGAAAAGTATATTTATTTGGAATCAGAAGGAAGAGCTCTGCCGTTTAGAAAAATGAAATACAGAGTGTGTTAAGTTTACGTGGTTAACAGAAGTAGATTGATGTGTTATTGAAGTGAAATATTGTTGAAAGTCATTGAACAATGTGAGGAAATCGAGTTATCAAGATGTTTCTGTCTTTTTTTTTTCTAAGTGTCAAGTATCAAAAAGGTAGATTATCAACGTTCCCTACAAGAAGATGTCAAATCATTTATGAGTGACCAGGAGGAAGTCCAACTAAGCTTCGTATGTTTCAATTTCCATATTTACCAAGGATGAAAAATTGTAAAAGAAATGAAGTGAATCTGAAATACCTCCTGAGAACTGGAATCCATCTCAACGTTCTGCAGCGTATGCTGTTCATTTCGTTGAAGCAAATATTGTTAGACATGATACCTACATTTTCTTATCCGAATAAATCAGTTCCAGAAAAATCACTGAACACTGCAGTACCATCATGAGCTGTCCAGAAGGAAGAAAAATCTATTTTTATTCTAAATTATGAGGTGTAGTTGAAGAATATTAGGAAAAACTGAAAATTGATTTCTACCCACCCAGATGGGAAGTTCTTAAGACAGATGGTAACATTTATTTTCAGCGATAATTAGTTTCACAGTTGGATGTTTTGTATCCCGATGCATTGAAAATAGCTTTACCTACGGCCACTATAGAAAGTATGCAAGAACACACGAGATACAGTAAGCACATCGTACAGTTTTCGTTTATTCCGCCAGTATAGGTATGTCATGATCGCGTAATCGCCGTCAACAGCGGATGACATAACTGTCAAGAATTATAATTCAGACTGCTTGTCCAAACTTTTTTGATGTACTATATGGCAGTAGGTAAAGTATAGTAAGTAATATGCTAAAATTGAATCAGATGCAGGTCCAAGTTTTACTTTAGTGGCAGTAAGCAATAAGTTGACATTCAATCACTCGAAATTTGTTCCTCCTTATGGTATACAATTGAGTTGGTGGTCACGACTTGAAAATATTCTAGAAAGATATAGAAACAGTTCAGATTAAGCCGAGAAATGATTAATATATCTGGAAAAACCTTCACAATATCTCGTGAGAAGATGTTATGTCCTTCATGTTGTACACCACTTTTCATCTTGTATATGGACTCATCAGAAATGTTTTCATTTTACTTCCCCAAGGAAAAACTTTCATAAAATCCACTCCTGGTATAGCCTGACTCATTATCCCTTGCTCATGTTTGTATATATTTGCCGATGTCGACAGTCAGAGTCAATCACGGTAATGCGGTGTTGCCATTATCTCACCACAACTTTCTTACAAAGACGGCTGTGGTTTGATGGATATATTTCCTAACCAACATTTTTGATCTCATCATGAATCTAATAGCTTTATTATTGTAGGTAACAAGAAATACAGGGTATTTAATCAAAATTATTGGAATTCATCATCACCAAAAAAAATTAGATGAATGAAATATCATTGGGTAAAATTACGAATTATATGAATAGGTACTTCAATGGCTCGACTTTATTATGAGCATCACTTTACCATTGATTCGTTAAGCTAGTTGAAAGAAATTATTTTTATATACTTTACGCATCCAAATTAACATTGATACATAGGAAGATGATAGGTTCATTGAATTTTTGTACATATCAACAAATTTTCATTTTGTTGAGTTATGTTAACTCTGAACTCGGTTAAAATGTCATAAGCGATGGTCAGGTTAGGTTAGGTTATATATCTTCAAAGAAACAAGAATATAAAAAAAATGTGATACTCTGATAATTCTGTTTTGAATAATCTACCATTAGAGTGAGGTACAAGTTTAAGATTCGGGATGTACGAGCATTTCATGGAAAACAGTTGGAAAGAAAATGATCAAGGTGAATGCTAACAAATTCAGTTAAGAGCCACGATTCCTTCATTGAACTAGTCAGGGAAATTATTTCACTATCTTATGCTGGGTTTCCACCAAGAGCAGGACAAAAACAAAACACGAACTCGGTTTGTTTGTGACAGTCCGCGAACTGTTCTAGAACTTTTGGAGCGTTAACTAAACTTGTTAGTCTGCGAATAGGGTTTTTACGAACACAAACAGTGTCCCGGCGAATGTCGGTAACTTCAAAGGGTTTAGGTGTTCTAGGAATGTTTGTCAGCTTGGTGTGAACGTCTTGACATTAGAACCAGTTTGTTTTTATTTTCGTTGTTGTGTTTTAGAGGTAGTCTGATTTAGTGCGTGAAGGGAACAAGTCGCTATGTCTGATGTAAGTTCTTAAAACTTGATCGAAGTTCACCTCCTATGCTTATATCATCTTCTCTAAGATCTGGCAACAGTTTAGAATTCACAGTTTCTTCTTTTTGCCTTAAAGATGGCCTAATCCAAAATCGACGATCACTTTTGTTTTTTTTTATCATGAAATATGTAACTCCTTTCAAAAACAAAACCTCGTCATCTCAAATTTGCTGCGCGCCACATTTTCACAACTGCACATCCGGTGTCTCTGTAAACTGAATAAAACTCAACCAAAACACAAAACAGTTTTTATTGATTTCTGTTCGTGAATGGTGTAAACACAAAGTCCGTTGGGGACCCAACAGTGTTGAAACACTTTCAGAACAAAACTGTTCGAAATTTCTGTTCAAATGGACAGTTCGTGTTTTGTTTTTGCCCTGTCCGCTTGCGAATAGCCGCCATTATATTCATTATTTATGTGGATCTGGAAAAACCGACTCACCTTCATTTCTCCACTATGCAATCGTCCGAACACATTCTTGGACTTTTCTGAGTTTTCTAGCAACTTGACGTAATCTTCGCTGGATATATACACTTGGAAGAGATTGATGCCTGAAGGCAAGTTTTGGTGTTCAATAGGAGTGGCTGAACAGTGAATTCTATGCAAATCAGCAGATGAGAGGCGCTGTGTAAGATCAGAACTCAGTTGACTAGCAACTACTCTGCAAAAATAATTAAAAAGATCCATCATGGGGATTTCAGTTGAGAGATACAAGGTCCATTAAATTAAGGCAAAGTTGCGCATTTACCGCATTACCGGGTATTTAAGTACTGTGGAAAAGTTCTATAGCTCCATTGCAATAAGAGATAGCTCTATAGCTCCATTGCAATAAGAGATAGAGAAAATCTTTTTGGGGATACAAAACAATTCGCGGAGGTCATCATCTGACGATGCACTGACATGAAAACTACGGGGAAACATCCCGAACTCCTGGCTTAGATTGAAAGTTAAACATGTTCATCTACTCACTGAATCGAAAGTAGGCGTTTGCTCCCTCATTAAATAAAATAAATCTTCAATAGTATATACTGCTCGCCAACAGCCATGGAACCACCCCAATTTCCGGAAAATGATATTAGGAGTCGAAATAGGTTGAAAATCACTTCGGATTCGGAATCAGGACGCCCAATTTACTAACTAATCACAGTTTTAGTAAAACATTTTCAGTTCTGAATAATTAAATTTTGTCGCACTTTTCACGTAATTGACTTCATCTTTGGACTTCCCCTTCCTCCTGCAAATTTCAGAACCTTACCTCAATAATTACGTGAGATAAGTGGGTGCTTCCATGAGAAGTGAGACAAAATTTAATTTATCTGAATTGAAAATTTTCTAGGAAAACTGTGAATAGTTAGTGAATTGGGCTTCCTGATTCCGAATCTGAAATGATTTTCGCCATATTTTGTCTCCTAATATCATTTTCTGGAAATTGGGGTGGTTCCATGGCTGTTGGCGAGCAGTGTATATCACTGAAGATGACCCCACTTGGTCATAGAGTGCATTCTTGGTATATCTCTCGCTCCAGTGAATTTCAGGATCCTTACCCAACGATTACATAAGATACAGGCCATTAGAAGTGGGTCACACTGTTATACAGGGTGTTTCAAAAAACCCTAACCCCCTTGCTAGGGTAGGTAGAACATTGCAAAATAAGTTGGGTTTGCTCAGTAAAAAAATGTTGTAACGCCATCCGTTTTCAAGATACAAGGTGTTGAAACAAAATTTTTTTTACACATTTTTTACGATTATGATGAAACTACTGGCAACATTGTGATGAAATTTTGTATGGATGTTTCTTGGAATCTGACACATCGCATGCATTTGTTTTTATATCTGACTCTCATAGAGGGCGCTAGTTACACGGTTCGTACCGAGTAGTTTTGAACATAACTTTTTTGAGGTTGGATTTTTAAATCCAAATTTGATGTGAACTTGAACATCATTCAATTTCACACCAAAAAGGTACAATTGATGAAACTCGATACTGTGTTCCGTTTTCGGGATATTTCGATTTGAAAATGATGAAGTGGTAACTGTTGCTGGTATAAAGCTATGTATTAGAGTGAGTATTATGAAAAATTATCACCTATTTATTGAAAACCGAAAACAACAATACATTTCTGATGTGAAACTCATTGATTTAACAATGAATCACAAGAATAACATCGAAACAGATTTGACTAAGAACATGGATTACACAGTTTTGTTGTATCTTGAGCAGAATGTGAGACAAAATTGAACATCACTTAAATGACCTAACAGCTGATCCTCAACTCTTCAGAAGAATAATTCATTCTTAAAAAAAGAATATAGAATCATGTATTCCTCGAAACGTAGGACATTTTGAGCACTTACTCTAACTGATTCAATATTTCATGTTTCTAGTCAAATATCTCTTGATTTTCTACTTATGATTTTTTGTTCCATCAATAACTTCAGCACAAGAATAATTTTATTGTTTTCGAACCTGAATAAATAGGTAATTGAACTCAATAAAATTCATTTTATACCAGCATCATTACTACTCCATTTTTTTGCAAATCGAAATATTTCGAAAACGAAACATAGTATAGAGTTCCAGGAGTACCTTTTTGGACTAGCGTCATCCGCTACGCGTCGTCCATCAAACTTCACACGCGGGAGGAAATATATACCTTTCCTCCCTTAATATATAAATACCTATTTCCCGTAGCTTTTGTCATCGAAACGTCAGATGATGACCTTGACTACCAAAAAATTTATCTCACCTAATATTCTTCCTAAGGAAAAGATGAAGAAGCTTATCTCTAATTTTTTAAGATAAAATCAGATACAATAAATTATCAGGTATGAATAGATTCATAGTAGGTTCTAGAAAACTAGTTATACAGGGTGTTAACAAATAAGTGTCACAACGGAAAACTGTAGATTGCTCATGAAAAAAGAAACATTTTTTTCCCTTTCGAAATTTTTCTTCGGGCTTCCGTTATCAAGATACAGGGCGTCAAAAAAATACAAAAAAATCTGTTTTTCGCTACTATCTCAGGAACCGTCTGAGCTACGGAGTTAAGCCTTCGTACACACTTCATCATCAATAATGACTACTTTTAGGGCTCTTGATCAATTTCCTTGGACATTTCAGTGAAGGAGAATTCAACGCCTCGTAAGGGTTTGACCCCCCAAACATTTATGCCACTGGAGAAATTGTAATTTCCAGAGTAGATTCTGAAGCGCCAATATCTTTCACACAAAAAACGTCCTCTTGTCTCAATGCTCTGAAGTGAACAGTTTCCGCGAAAAATGGCTCTTTACGAATAAGAACATACAAAATCCTGATAGTATCTCCAAAAAAATATCAGGTTCTTGAGTATGCTGGTCTCGATGCTGGTTTTCAAATTGTTAAGTCTTTTAAGTGTTATAAAGTGTGTTTAATTGAACTGAACATTTTTTATTTTTTGACGCCCTGTATCTTGAAAACGGTAGCCCGGAGAAAAAATTTTGAAGAGGAAAGAAATGTTTCTTTTATTATGAGGAATATACAGTTTTCCGTTGTGACACTTATTTGTTAACACCCTGTATATCACAGGATAATCAGATCATTTTCCAATTTTCTTTATCTATCAGCTTCCGATTTATTATTGTACTTGAAAATGGAATCACCCTGTATGAAGTTAATCAACTCACTTATTTTTATATAGTAACAGCCCTCCTAAAACACCTTCAAGAGCCTGACAGGACTCTAAAATGTGAACAGCGTCCATGTAAACACCATCCATGCTCTAAAAAAATAGATTATGCTATGATTTTGTGTAAGCACAAAAATTTGGAATAGTTCTGAATGAATTAATCCAACCAGCAAGACAAGCAAAACAATACACAGTGTCAAATTATCAGATGATCAAAAATGGCAGTATATTTCTCTTGATTTCTCTAAATGAATAGTATGTAATACACAACCAAGTACACAAGATTTATTGGCTGTGAAAGTACCGTCAAACGAGGTTAAGTGAATCAAAACAATGCGTTTTTTCATTTTTTCGAAAAGTATTGGGGCAAAAAAATATACAAAAAATAATGTAGGTCCTGATGGCACCCTTTTCGAATGGCTCGAAAATAATTTAAGAAAATTAAGGAGAAGGTCTTAATTTTTTTTGTAAAATCTCACTTCATCCACCACTTTAAACAAAACGAATCAGGCATTAAAAAATAAAAACGCGTGAAAACTCATTCTGAAATTCTCAAAGGTGAATAAATTTTTATTTTTTTGTGATTGCATTTTTATAAATGTTATATTTATATTCTCCACATGCTGAGAATGAATCAAATTATCAGAAATGAATGATTAATTCATAGTATAGCAAGATATAACATAAAAATATCCAATCACAAAATAGAAACCACACTTTCATAGAAATTAGAATGATTCATTTTACCCATTATAGTGACCACTTCAAAGTAAAAAGAAATGCTGAAATTTAACTAAAAAATTTCAACACCATTGAGATTATTATAGCTCCTACACATTGATGTGAGAGGACAATGAAAATGGTGTTGTGAATTTGGTACATCTATACGGAAAGTGTTATTAGATCGTGAAGTTATACGAGGTACATTGAAATTTTAGAAATTTTTTCGGAACAGTATCTCTATGGCTATGACATACTTGGAGTAACATGGATTCCATACAACACTACAGTATACTAGTTTACTTCTAACAATAGACAGATAAATACTGCGGAGCGCTTCGAAGGAACTAAAGTCTTCACAATTTCGGATAAGAAAACCGAGAGATTTCATTGCAGATGATATTGTTGCCTCAATATGTAATGAGAATGATAACTTTTCGAATGTCACACCTAGGTCTTTAGTTTGAGTGACTCGCATCAAGCTCTTGTCGTCCAACATATAATCATATTTTATATAAATACTGTCTGTAGGTTAATCGAGGAGGTGGTATATTCATTATTCCAAATTTTTTGGGATTTTCTCTCCTCGTTTCTATAAAATAAAAATATGAATATTATTTCAATATACGTGTAGTGAGGACAAATCAGATGATTTGCCCCAAAATGTCACTGCGTTTAAAGAATTTTCCTATCAGAGAGCCTAAAAGAAAAATTCACTAGCAATAGAAAAAATCTCTTCATGTTGAAAACGGGAGCAGAATCGGTCTCGAAACGTCCAAAGATAAGTGAAAATTTGATATTTTTTCTATATACCTTTATTTCTCTTCTCCAAAAATTTTTCAATACAAATTGTCACTGACAAGCTAGTGAATTTTTCTTTTAGGCTCTCTGATAGGAAAATTCTCTAAACGCAGTGACATTTTGGGGCAAATCATCTGATTTGTCCTCACTACACGTATATTGAAATAATATTCATATTTTTATTTTATAGAAACGAGGAGAGAAAATCCCAAAAAATTTGGAATAATGAATATTTTATATATTTCAGTTTTCTTGAAAAAGTCATAACTTTGCATTTTGTGACATTCAGTGAAAGTTTGTTCATTTGACACCAATTAGTGAGTACTTCAAGATCATTTTGTAACAATACACAGTCATCAATATCTTTTATCTCCCTATATAACTTTAAATCATCAGCAAACAAAAGTTTTTGTGATCTCAAATTGTTGCCTATATTTCATTGACAAATAGTAAAAAGAGCCATATAGTACATCAAAAAAGTTTGGATAAACAGTCTGAATTATAATTCTTGACAGTTCTGTCATCCGCTGTTGAAGGCGATTACGCGGTCATAACAAACCTATACTGGCGGAATAAACGAAAACTGTGCGATGTGCTTACTGTGCGATGCGCTTACTGTGCGTAACGAGCTACTTATTGTGGCTGTATATCGTGTGTTCTTACCTACTTTCTATAGTGGCCGTAGGTAAATGAAATTATAAAATCAGGTAAAACTGCATTTAACATGCGATGATTTTTTTTCGAAAATTTTTTTTAGTACTTCGTATTTTTGTCTGAAAAACACGAATTTGATAATGAAAATGTGAATAAACCATTATTTATTAAGATATTTCACTATAAAGTTACAAATTTCACCTCCTTTTCCGCCTGTTTTCTGGATTGCATTTAAAACAATTTACCCTTCTTTTTTCATCATTGGACAATTTATATATATTACAATGTAAGACACATTTTTTTCTATTATTGAGTCAACTAGAAATATGATTTTCTTGTGATTTATCCATATTTAGTGAAAAGAAGGAAGAATATCATTTAAAATAATGGCGTGAGTAATGTCATTCAAAAGCACTCTGTTGACATTTGACATCTCGTATTTGGATTGACTATCAATTGTTTACTAAATATGAAAAACTCGCCATAAAAATCATATTTCCTGTTGAATTCTCTGTATAAAAATGTGTCATTGAAGTACATCATGAGTATATAAAATGTCCAATGACAAAATAAGAAGAGGAAGTACCTGTAAATGCATTCAACACAAGGGGATAAGGGAGTCGAAATTTCGAACTTTTTTTGAAATATCTCGCAAATAGTGGTTTGTTCACATTATCATTGTCAAATTCCTGTATTTCAGACAAAGATCAAAAGTACCAAAAAAAATTTTCGAAAAAAATCCCATCGCATGCTAAATGCAGTTTTACCTAAAATTAGTACCTCCACAATCAATTTTTTGAACAGTTTCGTAAAAATATCAAAAAACCGTTAGAGCCTAAAGTGTGTTCGTGATCTCTCCTGTTTCTGTAGGCGCCGCGAAACACCCTCCTTTATTTACTTGGACGTACTGGCGAGACGACTGGGACGCGAAAACTTTTCAATCTTGCAGCTGGAGCAAACAGCGCCCTCTTTTGTACTGGAACACCCGACTGATTCTTTTTTTATCTCTTGAAGCGCACAAAAGGAAATCCCTATAAGGTTCGTGGAAAATCGCGCGTACCTAGGGATGAATGATAGGGTTCACTTTACCCCGTTTGACGGTATATAATTGGTTTCAATGTTTTTCTATCCTCTTTAATTTCTTTCACATGCTAGGTGTTAACGAATCCATATGACAAGCCATAATTCCTAGAATATCAGCTGAGTTTATGCATATTTTTTATTCTTCGATCACCTCTGGTTTCTCCGAAAATAGCACCATGTTTGAACGGGACACCCTGTATATTATAACATTGATTTCTGAGACGATTCTGGGTGAGATGGTGATATTTTTTAAAGTTTTCGCGTCAACTTCACTGTTTTAGAGTCACTTTTAATATTGCATCTACGTGGCCATGATTGAATGTAAACTAATCTAAAAGTATTCCTTAGAAATCAAAAGACTCCTTAAAGTAATGGCACTGACATATGCATTATGAGCAGAAAGTAAAAGTGAAACCGGAAGTGATCAAAAAGTGGCAAATATGCAAAAACTCTCCTATGCCAATAGTTAATCCCAGTTAATCCATTTTAATACACATGATATTCTAGCTATGGCGTGTCTAATAGATTTGATGAAACCTAGTATAGTTTAGTTCCAACTGTTAGAAGTAGAGATTCAGAAAAACTGAAAAAAGAAAAATAGGAAGGTATAATTTGAAAAGAGAAAATCAAAAGCTAGTAGAGGAAATAAATAAATACAATCTGTTCTTGTGAAATTTCTAGTCTATTGAATGAAAGTGAAAAAACTAAAATTCTATGACATTTATGTAAATTTGAATTTACCTTTGATGATGGAATATTTGATTTGTGGAACAAAATACTGTTTGAGTACATCAACATTCTCAAATGATTATCTACAATACTCTGTAGTTTGGAAGAGAGTAATTCAGTTTTGCCCATGCTTAAAAGCAAATTCAGGTCTGCATGGAGAAACTCAAACAAAGAAAATAGTATATTTGCTTTATGTTGTAGACGCAAGTTGGTTGAGTTTGTTTCAGTACCAACAGCCTGAAATCAATAAAATTTCATGTAAATGATAGATATTACCACTAATCAATGATAGCTATAACCAAGGCTATAGCTATCAATCTTGAAGAATATCTAGGAACCCAGGTGCATTAGCAACAAGGGAGTAACATTCTGGATTGTTTTTTATCAGTTCAAATATTCAGTTTACCATAAATGGTACATCAATACAAAAATTTGATTCCAGTCTGTACTAGGGATAGACCGATATAGAAATTTTAGCCGATACCGATAATCGGCCGATACCGATATTTCGAATACCGATATACCAATATATCGGTCTATCGGCCGTTAACAAGTTTTCTCCGAAGCTGGTAATATTTATGATGCAAAACGTAGCAGGCTAACTCCTGATAGGGCAGAAAGCTTATTGTTTTTGCATCACAACCTACTAAAACTGAATTATCAGTATTAATCAGTTATTTTTGTATTTTAGTAAGGTGAAATAATTTTACCTTACAGTTGCAATCCGCATAGGGTTTTATTTTATTAATTTTTAATTACTAGTCAAAGAATTTAGTTGATTTTACGTTACATACTTTTTATTGGTAATAAAGATATATTTTTGATGGAAGTGTATTTTTTTCATTCATTTTTCAAATTGATTTTTTTCCCAATAAAAAAATATATCGGTCTATCGATTTTTGATATCGGCCAATACGATAATCGGCCAATACGATAATCTGCCAATGACGCCGATATCACCGATAGGCCGATATAAATATCGGTATCGGTCGATCCCTAGTCTGTACTATGACTGAAGTTGCAAAATATTATGTTCTCTCTCTTCAGGATCTTTTGTACCCTTGAACCAACCCTTGAAGGATCCTACAAAAAATGGATGGGACCGTTCATGTGAAAAATGCTATCAGGATATTTGTGAAAATATTAATCCTCAGAACTAATATTGAACCTGAGTTGAAACAATACTTTTCAAATTATTTGAAATTCCCTGCTGTGACTTTATTGCAGGTGAATCAGTCACTTCCCATTCCTATTCCTATTGAGAAAATCAAGAGTAGTGAACTATATGATATGATATTGTCCATCTATTTTTCTGTTCATTGATTGAAATATCTAGACTATTTCCCAAACAATCAGAGATGAACAGAGAAAAACATGTGGAGACATGTAAGACATCTTAGTATTTGCACAGTAGAGAGCTTATTTGGGTGAGAGAAAAAATGAATAAATAAGCTAATCATGTTATATCTAGCAGAGTTATGTGTAGGTATCTATTGATTCTGAACTTTAGCAAGGACATTAGTAATGAAGAAATGTGGAAAATATAAACAGAAACAAGAAACAGTCATGTGTACTTACAAATATAAATCTTCCTTTGAACATTATATAGAAATTACCACTTGCAACTGTCAATATCTTTGGTCTGCAAAATAATTTGCCCACACATTCCACAGTGCCAACAATTTGACCACAAAGAGCAGACTTTTGTTCACTAGATACCCAAGTAGGGTAGAAATATAAAACAGGTGAGGCAGGTTCATCTCTTTCCCTTTCATTCATCTGAGTATCATACACAAATATTATTAGGGTTTCTCTAAAACATTACATGGTACCATTATGGGTTGTGTAGTTATTGGAATAGGTATGCATTTTTCATTAAAATTTTTCAACAAAACTGAAAAACTTCAACCTGAATAATATAAATCAATGGTGTTAAATTATATCATTTATATTAGAGGAGGTACATAAAATATTAATAATAATACATAGGTACTTTGTCATTTTGGCCAGTTCTTCTTGTAACAACGAATTCTTGATAGTGACTCAAAATTATCACATCATTATGAAATTCAATTTCGGTACGAGGTTTTCTTCCTGGCAAAAAGTTCAGACTACTTTCAATTCAACTTCTCTAAAAAATGTTGTTTTTCATATTTCATAACATAACCTTAAATTATTTTATCGAAAATAAACCGAAACGTCAAATCATTTTTTGTAAACACTATAGTGACTAGAAGACCGAATACCGTGTCTGTAGGTTCTTTCGTCTGCTTTTCAGTTTTCACATGTTTTCAGTACATGTAAAATGCACTGCACTACACCTACACTACACTTCTAGATATTAGGCCGTCATTGATGAATCAGAATCACTCTAGACCTCACACCGTGTGGGTAACTTATCTCTGACACCGTAAATCATGCTAATCGTGGCAGCTGCCCATGATTGGCCCATGACACACATTGTGCTATTCGAGAGAACGGCCGTCTCCCTTCCAGTTATTTGGTACGGACAGATCAAAGCTCCTTTTTATTTATCTAGTGACTTTGGTTTCGTGTATTGGCGTGTGTGTGTGTGTATATGGTGTATATGGTACCAGTACATATTAGAGTTACTGGATGGAAACAGTAACTCTAGTACAATTGAGCGAGTTTCATTGAACAAAGCCATGTGACTTTTTCTGCACTGAGTATACGTTTGTTTCTGTCTATCACTCTTAAACAAAAAAGATAGGTATATACTGAGTGTTGTGTCATATGTCTCCGTCATCAGTCAATACGTCAATGTCATTATTGTCAATTGTCATTCTGCCCACGCCTTCTCCGGAGAAGCGAAGCGGGGAGCGCAAACGCAAAACATTTTAATTACGTGATGAGTGCTTGCAAGAGAAACTGACGCCATCATCATTATCTACTGAAAAGCTGAAAATATCCAAACGAGGCAACATATTGGTATTGGCTACAGCTCATCGAGAATCGAGAAATATTGAGGTTTCCTAGAATTCGATTTTATTACCAGAATGTTAGTTCTCTTTTCAAGATTATTCATTTAGTAAGGTTCAGCTTTGGTTAAAATTTCTTATCAATTCGAGGTAAGTTCATATTACTTTGTACCATTTTGAATATCGTCGCAAATATAGACTAATGATGCAAAATCTAAATGGGCCCAGGGCTTTTCAAGTTGACGTATGATATCATTTTTATGAAGTTTTTACGGGCGGGAAAGCTTTGTTTTTACCTAGCCCATAATAAACTAATAAAAAAAAGTGATGAAACATGGAGAAGCCCCTGTTGCGCACACTCGCTAAAAGTCGCCAAGCAATTTTCAATGCTTGATCTTTATTCTTGATGTAAAAACATCACAAACGATAAGATTTCCACACCTGAAGAAGCTACTGAGTAAGCAAATCATGTCATATAGGTGAATTTTGAGAAAATTTCATCATTTGTGAAGTTTTTACATTTGGGGCCACTTTATAAAAAACTAAAGATTTATCACCTGACATTTGAGGCTTATAACTTATGACAGATTTATGATTTTACATTTAGATTTAAGAAGATGTCCAACACCCAAGTGCTGATAAATGATCATAAATTAAGGAGTGCACATCCAAAAGTGAAATCTCAATATCCCGCCATTCAAAAATTATTTGAAATATCTTGGGTTGTTATTCCTGAATATTGGTTTTTCTTCTGATAGAAAATATGGATACTGAACCATTCTTCAAAAATACACTAGAATGTCACCTTAACTCTGTTGCCTCCATATTTGGCAAAATCTCCAAGGAGTGAGCTATTTCCTGTTAGGCAAGAAATAGTGATTACTTTCAAAATAATGTGGAGATATAATGGATGTGGGTATCATTTTAGGGATATAAATTGATAGAATGTTATCAAAACATGAAATGTTGATTTCCAACCAGTTTCTAACTTTGAAAATTGGTTCTGTATCAGAAACTAGATGTCATTGTTAACAGAAAACATGTATCACCCTAGAATCTTAATTATTTTTATAACTGAATCCACTCAAGAAGCCTTATGTCTTGAGGGCTAAAAGTTTTAGTAAAGTCACCCTTACTATGGATTTCCATCAAAACAACTGAGTCAATTCAAAATTTGATTCTTGATGCTTGTGGCTTGTGACTGCAGTGTACTCATACTGAGACTTGGTACTTGGTAACAGCAAACTTGAAATAATTCAACTCTCCATGTGCTCTTCACTCTTATCATGGAGTGGAGAGGTAATAACTTGTACACAAATATCTCAACAAATATTTATTAGCTTTAACCATTATACAAAACCAAGGCACAATATTTGTGTCTATTCCTACTGACTACTATCTAAAAAAATTATACCTACTATCCAGAAATCTAATCACTACTAAGTATCCAAGTAGTTACTATCAGATCTCATTCATTGTCATATTTTATCTCCTTTTTCAACTCTATCAAATTCAAAAAAGATAGTCAATTTCGATTTAGCTATTGGTGATTTGATTTGTAAAACTAACTTTCCTAAGACAAAATTGAATTTGTTATTCTATTTTGTAATGATTTTGTGTCTCGATCATTTCAATCAGCAATCACTGCTCAACAGATTATACATGATATCCAATAAGTCATGGATCAAAAGGAGTGGATTGGCAGGGGGTAATTTCTGATCAAACTAACCATATGTGGTTATCTAATTGTTGATGGTTTGAAAGTTATCTATTGAAATTTTCTGAAAAACGCGACCCATTTAAAAAATTATCAATAACAAATAGGCTGTTTTGAATAACCCCATAATATGTTATACCATTTCGAAATCTGTATGAAATTGCATTTTTTTATGATAGTTGGTTATCTTTGTTGGATAGTTTTCAAATCTGCCAGGGGCATTAAAAAATCAACTGGGTTATTTTATTCAACAAAACAACATTTTTCTCAATTGATACAAAGTTGTCATAAAAATTATTTCTTGGGGAAGGTGCAACCATGGGGATGAAATTTGTAAAAGAAAAAAAAACACAATTCTAAGGAGGAATGAAAAATTTTAATAACTTTTGAACCATCATTAATTGGATAGCCACATATATTTTATGGTTAATTTGGATGGAAATGACCCTCCTACCATTTGAAAACACATGTGCCTCTCATGGAAAAAGTTACATTTCCATCAGATCCTATGAATGAAATATCTATTATTCAGATAGGGTCATCATTCTATTCACCACCACCAGTTGTGAAAAGTTTGTAAATTTTTCAATTTCATTCATTGGTTTTGAAATATATCAATTTCATTTTGTGATTTTTAAGTAAGAAAAAATCACCTAATTTTGGATTGTACTAAGTATGCACACAGCAGCAGAATCAAGAAATGGGGGGAGAAACTTCAATGTCATTACTGCATCCCCTCAATAGTCACACAACCCACACCAATGCCAATTTTCAATTTACAACCCCTATGAACAGGTTTAACTCGTCTAAATTTGACAATCAATAGCAAAAATTAAAATCTACGTATTTTTTTGTTTTGTCCTGGAGAAACTTGTGTTCATTATACTGGGTGTCAAAGTTTGCATACATTTTTTTTTATCAGTTGAAACAAAATCTAGCGATTTCAATTTAGGTGATCATTTTTTTTTTCGGCAATATGAACAGTCCTTATCAATAGGGGGGACTTAGCTACACTGGATGTTATTCTTTTTTGAGCCCTCTGACATGGAACCCATAAGATGATAATTTGATGTAAGATAAACATTAAGGTCAAAAAAGTGTTATGCATAGTATAACATTATTTCAAATAACAAGGGAACCAAGAAAGATATCAAAATAATCTGTAGGCTTCCATATCAGTGGATATGATACAAAAAACACCCAGTGTAGCTTAGCCCCCTGTATTGATGAGAACTGTTCATATTGCCAATATAAAAGTCTTCACCAAATTTCAAATCGCTGGGATTTTTTTCAACAGAGATAGAAAATATAAACCAAAAATGTAAGCGAACTTTAACACCCCGTATAATGAAAATGAGTTTCTCCACGACAAAACAAGAAAATGCGTGTATAATATTTCGATTTTTGGTATTGATTGTCAAAGTTAGACGAGTTAAACCTGAGACACCCTGTGTGTAATATGGTTTTGGTTAATAGGTCGCGTGCACGATGACCGACCCTGGAGGCAAAATATTGAAACACAACCTCACTCTTCTGTGAATTATTGAAACACAACCTCACTTTTTTATTTGTTTACAGAGGAATCAAAAGGGTGAAATAGTTTTTCACAATATTTTGGCATACGAATCGTGTTTCTTGCGTTATTCATTAATTCAAGCATGCCTTCGCATTGTGCTGTAGTACAATGCACAAAAAATGCAGCAAGAGACTAGGGAATATGATATTTCAGGTAAATAGTAATCTCACATAGTTATCATTATGAAATGTTGTCATTCCTTATTAAAATTCCTTCTGCCTTCTGTCACTTCTACAATACAAGCTAATACTGCTAATAGATTGAAAATGTCTATAACACACACGATCGTTAGCATGTCAGACCAGTCCTCCCGATTGATTGCATGAATCCAATCTTCTTGCATTATTCTAGAAATTTCAGGTATATTTCTATTAGCTCTTATTGCAGAAGGAATTCCGATGAGAAATCAGAGAAATAACCAAATTTCAAAAATGAAAACTATATGTGAGTGACTATAGTAGGTACTTACTTTTAAATCATAATGTACCATCCGGATACCTTCATCTTCCGCTGCAGTTTTTGTGCATTTTACAACAGCACAATGTGATGGCATGAGCGAATTGATGAATAGCGGAAAAATACGATTCATATGCCAAAATAATTGTGTAAAACTATTTCGATCACTTGTGAACAAATAAGAAAAGTGACGTTGTGTTTCAATGTTTTGCCTCCAGCGTCGGTCATCTGACAGTTCTTGCACGCAACCCATATGATATTTTTGAGTTGTCAGATAATGGTCATTCATGTTATGTCAGTAAAAGTCATTGAGCAATAGTATATTACACACCAAGGTGGGAAGTGATTCATTCCTGTCGTGAGATTAGTTAGTTAATCGAGACGCAAAGCGTCGAGGTTAGCTATTATTTCGAGACAGGAATGAAACTTCCTACCGAGGTTTGTATACTATTTTATTTACAACCATCATATTTCGATCAAATTTAATAATGTAAAAACTTCACAAACGATAAGATTTATCGTCTCATTGGTTACTCCTGAATGTTGATTGGTCAGAGTTGCATGGGCGGTCTTTTGTGTGATAAGAATCTTCTAGCCTGCGCTGGGCAGTGCGGTACGAGCTAGGTTGCCTTCATTGGTTCAACTCAAAATTTAGAAAATTATTATTTCAATCATAGTGGTTTTGTGTTCTGGAGGCCTTTTCAGGAAGTCAACGAAGTGAGTGATAGTGATTCGGAGGAAGAGCAAGCGGAGTTCGCCAATAAAGACTTACACGTTCAAACGCAAAGGGTAATTTTGAATGTCTATTCGCGTCTCAAGGACGAGAATAATGATTCTTCAGCAAACCAAGTTGTGAAGAGAATACAGGAATTAACTGAAATAATCTATACTCACCATATACAGAGTTATAAGAACCGGAGGTGTTGTATATAGATCATGAAGTTGAACGAAAAAGAGTGGGACAAAAACTAAAGAAGCTTGGTGATGCTTGAAAAGAAGTAATTCGTCGAATTGTATATAGATTGAGAATATGGTGCCAACATTGCCAGATATCAGGGATAAGTTGAATGAATACGCGGATTATAATTACAAATCGTTAAGTAAGTTGCGAAATGTTTTACTAGATTGCGGGTTCAGTCATAAGAAATTAGACAGAAGGATGGTGATTATGGAATCAAGACCATCGGCAAGAATATCTACGTAAAATAAAGGGATACCGTGAAGCGAATAGACCTATAATCTAGATGAAACGTGGTTCGACACTCATGACGTTGTTCAATACGGTTGGGTAGATGATAGCAAAAACTGTAATGTGAGTGGTCCGAGTTCGAGAGGCAAAAGAATTATAAACCTTCACGCCGGCAATGAAAATGGATTTGTTAACAATGCATTATTGTCTGT